TGTAAAAAAATATATATATATACACACACACACACACACACACACACACACACACACACATATACCGTAGGTAGAATAAAATACTCACCCCAGAGAAGAAGCAGGGCAGGTAGAAGTACCATGGTAATGTTTAGTTTATTTTAAACCAGACTCTTTGTTGTTTGTCATTTCTCCGATCACAAATGCAGATATGGTTTTACGTTTACGCGCGCGATGCAACGCAACGCGTAAAAAGACAGCATAAGTCATTATAATCCATAATTATATCCCCACTGGATGCAACGAATGCCTCGTTTATAATGGGTTTTCATGTTTTTGAATCATCGCTCCGGCCGGAGAGGGCATCATCACAGTATGGTGAGGGGCGTAACATTTCCGTCTCACGCTTGAGGTATTCGGCCAATCACAACGCACTGGATAGCTGGCCAATCACAGCACACCTCGCTTTTCAGAACGATGAGCTTTGTAAAACTCGACGCGTTTCAGAAAGGCGGGGCATAGAAGAGAAACAATAATGTACAGTATGTGGAAAATAATGTGTTTTTTTAACCTTAAACCGCATAAACACATTTCATTACACCAAATACACAAAATAATATTATTTTTAGCAGCATCATATGACCCCTTTAATAACTGGTATCAGTGTTATTCGTGTGGTGCGATGAATCAATCTAAAGAAGAAATGTTTGTTTTATCTGTTAATTCCAAGAGGAGTTGGACTGATCAGTGGATTATAGTAAATGTAAGAGAATGTAAAAAATCGCTCAGTAATTACAGTACTTTGTGAAATCTGACATCATTCTAAATTCATTATGATCCTCTGTTATTAATACAAACGCTAAAGACTTCTCGTGTGACATATCCAAATGGTACAATACATTTTTAAATGTCTAAATGTGTATAAGCATCTGCTCCAAGAGGATCGCATCAAACAAACAGGACAGGCCATGTGATCAGATACTTTGCTTAGACAAAACAGTATGTTAGTATAATTACATTTTATCTTGGTAAGTAATAAAGGTTAATTATAAGACAGAGATAACAAAGCTGCTTCTTACCTGGTGAGCAGGTTATTTGGTTGTGTCCTGTACTTAAGGAAATATCAGACTTATTCAAATCATGGCATAATTTTAGAGTAGAGACACACAGACAGGCAGACTGGGTCTGTTAACTCACTACAAATTCACTGGAGGTAGAGACGTCAAGAGAATGTGGATTGAATGTCACTATAGTACCAGTAAATGTGAAACCATATGTGCTATTTTTATACACAAATGATATATTATCAAATCGTGTCATTTTTTAAAACATTTGTACAAATTGACTGCATTGTTGTTATGTGGACAGCCAGCAGAGCTAGAGCTTGAGAACTTTTGTCCTGATACTCAGAGCCTGCTTTCTAATTTTGGAAATATTTGCATAAACATGCTGCCTTAGTCAAATATTAATAACATCCATAATGTGTCCTTATTCAAACATCTAAGCCGTGCAATATTCTATTCTGATGTGTTGCTGCAGTGACTCACTATTTTTACTTATTTAAGGGGTTAAAAAAACGATCGCAATGTGGAAATCAACAGGATCATTTTAGAGCTGTTTATGCAGTAGCTGAATATGATTATCAGTCGTTATAAAGCGCAATCGAGAGAAGCTGCGAGACTGACGCGAAACCAAAACCAGTGGAAACCAGTGGAAAGCACACTGCCTGAAATAACTGATTATTCCCTATATAGTGTATATGTGTCACTCACTAAGTAGTACTTAATGAACGAGTGATTTCGGAATTGACTTTAGACGGAAGCAGGTGGTATTTTCAATGTAATTAGGAGGGGACGTTCTCGTTCCAGAAAGCATTTGATTGGACGTCACTTCACTATTTTGCCTGTCATCTGTTTAGCCGGAAGTGAGTGACTGTCGTTTTTAAATTTGTATATGTTCTGAAAAAGAATTTTGTGAATGTTTAGGATAACACTAGCACATGACCTTAAAGCTGTTTGCATATGCACTTAAACTTAAAAAGCAAGAATTTCATTTAGAACTAATTGTCTTTAACATACTTTCACATGTATTTTGAAATTGAGTTGAGTTTAGACATGTCCTGTGTGAACAGAACTGCACTGGATAGCTTTATACAGTGCAAGTTCTGGTTTTAAATCTAGCTGATGCCTTTCTTTTTTAAAACGTAAAGGAATGGACTATGGATAAATGTTTTCAATGAGAACACATGGACTACAGCAAGTAAAATGTTTGTTTTATCTTCAAAAGTCCAAGGTAAGAACATTTAGGTCTCTACATTTATGCAGCCATGTAGGTTTGCAGCATATTTTTGCAACCAATAATGTGTAAGTGCAAATAAAGATATTCAAATTATGCTTATTTCTAATTACTGTAGAGCTGAAGCACACAGAGTAATGCGGCATACTGCATATGATGCAGTGTAAATTTTCTTAGACAAAAACTATGAATATTTAGTTGCGTAACAAAAGTCTTAAATGTGATTTAGAACTGTTACACAAGTGCCTACAATCAGGATCATTGTAGAGTTTGCAAACAAAGTCTCCCCTTATTCATTCTCTGCCAGATCATTTACCTTTGACATTCATCAAGTTTAGCATATGCTTCATTTGGCCAGGCCAGGGTTTGTCTCCCCGAAGAATAAATCCCAAACACACCTTCTGTTTTATGGAAGTCTACCAAAGTCATTAATCCATGAACACATGAGATAATAAGGCAATTAGTTATGTGGAAAAGGCACGCTTTTGCAATTATGGGCAAACATTGGGAAGTTTTCCTTGGGAATGTGTAGGGACAGTCAAGTTGAGGATAAATATGCTGTTACTTTACTTTGTGATCAAATTTATTTTCACTTGGTGGATGATAAAACAGGCAGCACCACTCAGATATTCTTTAGATTGTAAACATCTAGTTGCTGTCTGAAGTGTTTTGTTTCAAGTGCACTTGTCTGTTGTCACAGAAACTCAAGTAGGATGGAAATTCAAGAGGTAGATGGAGAGATATCAGTCAACCCCTATGAGACAGCCTTTGATCCCTATTCCCTCGCCCCATCCCAAGATCCAGAAGGTAGAGGAAATCTCAGATGCTGCCTGCCTTTCTCTGTCCAGGTGAGAACATTCTGTTATGTTGAATTTTCTGAACAGATGTCATCAGACTATTATGTTCTCCACATGTTGGAGAGTCAGATGCTAATGTGAGTCTTTGAGGTGTGTTGTGTCTCAGCTTGTGTTTCAGGGAGTTTTCTGGGGGATGTTTTATATGTGCAACAGTTTTCAACTGGAGCCCAACTTCATGAAGATCCGTTGTTACAAACCACCTAATCCCCATGTACTTTACCTGTTTTTCTAATTTAATTTCCTCAACATTTCAGGTAATCAGTCCAGGTGCTTATCCAAAAGTCTTCTCTGGAGACTGATATTCTTACACACACCAAGATTTTACATTCAGTGAGCGTAAGACAAATATGATTAAAGAAATTATAACATTTAAAGAAAGAGTTCAGTTTGAAACTAGGCTTATTTTTGTGTTCAGATCTTTGAAAGTACATTATTAATGCAGTTCATACAGACAAGTGACTTAAACACACCTTTTATATTATAATGTTTGCCATTTCAGGCATGAAGATGCATCTCTCTGGTGGCCGTCCTGATGAACCTGGTGTGTGTGAGAAGCTTTGGTTGAGCGTAATGTCCAGAGCTTAAAAATACACAAAAGTCATTTTCTTTCAATGTTCCAGGAGTTGTTTGATTGGATTCACCATCCCAGCCTAGGAGAGCATTCTGTTCAAGACTTTCTAAAGAAACAGCCTTTGACCTCTGACCTGTGCTTAAAGGAGGACAGAGAATATGAGGTAGTCATTTTCTTTCAATGTTCCAGGAGTTGTTTGATTGGATTCACCATCCCAGCCTAGGAGAGCATTCTGTTCAAGACTTGCTAAAGAAACAGCCTTTGACCTCTGACCTGTGCTTAAAGGAGGACAGAGAATATGAGGGTTGGAAGCTCAGTAGAGCTTGAGGAATATTTTTTGTTTAGATTTACAGCATTTGAGCTCTTAAAATTAAACTCTCACACGGACTGAAAATCCTCCAGAGTTCTTGATTCTAGAAGTGGCTGTAACTCGTCACTATGTAGTGAAACTTCACAACAGAGTCGAAACATCTGTGATACCTCACTGTTGTTTCAGTGCGACTGCATAAGATGGTTATGAAATAGTCTGATACTTTAAAATGGACGCTTGGTGCCTTTAAATAATTCAGGAATGTGAATAAGTGCCGCTCGACAGAATTTATGATTATTTTTATCTAAAATGTTTGTTTCAGTTCATGTGTAGCAGTCAGACAAATTATGTTTTTATATCTAGCATGAATTAAAATGTACATGTTGAATTTATTCTGAGTGCACAAATAAAAAGCTTTTTTCTCAATGAATTGTTCATTTCATTCAGAAATATGTCTCAATATATTACACCAGATGTATGTTTCACAAATTAAGTTGAGCGGGTGTTTGTATATTTTCATGAAAAGATGGCATGCGCTTCATTGTTTACTGAAAGATTTTCATTATATGCTGCATATTAAATAATTAAACACAATCTTACCACTATTTTATCTCTGAGGACAGATAAATGTCACCATGTCCTAAACTGTGCTTTTAATAAAAGTAACATGATCATAAATGGTGTCTGAAAGAAATAGACATTTCTACTGTTTTCGTATCCATATGATCTCCTGATCAGTAACCGATGTCACTGTGTTAAAGACATGAAATTCAAATACATTGTCATGTGAATGTCAATAAAGTCTCTGAGCTCATGGGATCTTCTAATGTGTCTCTTTCAAGTGATTCTTGAATGAATAAATCATAAATCAGCTCATATAAGACTCTAAATATTTACCTAATAAGAAATAAGCTACAGCAGCAAACACCAACAAAACTGACAATCAGCTCATTACACGAGTCAGAAAACAGTGACTATGATTCATCCCGAATAAATCAATGAGCTCATCAAATATCATGAGTCTGAGAGCAGATGAGAAATGCTTCAGTCAGGAGTTCCTGAGACTCTGAGGCATATGAGGATGTTTGGTAGTTAGAGGGATTAACTAGTTGATTGACCAAGATCACACGAGGCTTGTGAGAAGTTCAGTCACCGTCACATGCAGCTGTGGTTCTTTTCTGTGTTTGCAAGGCATTTTGGGAATCTGAGTTTTGAAGGATTGAGACAAAATCCTCCAAAAAACACAAGTTGCAGAAAAACCAGTGGCTCAGTGGTCTGACTGTCACTTCTTGACGAAGTGCCAGTGGCTCAGTGTGGTTTAAATGTCTGTTCTTGGCACAGACAGTCCTAGTTTGAATCTCACTCTTGTGGTTAAAATTAGTTTTTACGCTGGTTTCTGACTGAATAAGACAGACAAAACTCCATAAAAAGAGCCACACACATGTGAAGAGCCAGTGGCTCAGTGGTCTGAACATCAGTTCTTGATGTGGGTGATCCTAGTTCAAATCTCTCTTTAAGTGGAAAATAGTTTAGTTGCACTGGTTTCTGACTGAAAAAGACAAAACTCCAAAACAGAAAAACACACACATGGAAGAGTCTGTGGCTCAGCAGTCTGAGTGTCAGTTCTTGACACAATAACTCCAAGTTCGATTCCTATTGAGGTAGCAAAAAAGTTTAGTTTCACTGGTTTTTCAATAAGACAAAACTCCATACAAATGAAGAATTCTTGTAGAAGAGCTGGTGGCTCAGCAGTCTGAGCATCGGTTCTTGACACAGGAGCTCCAAGTTTGAATCCATCTGTTGAGGTGGAAAATAGTTTTGTTTCACTGGTCTTTTAACGCATGACAAAAAAAAAAAAGCAAACTGCTTGTAGACGAGCTGGTGGCTCAGCTGTCTGACTGTTAGTTCTTGACGCAAGAACTCCAGGTTCGAATCACTTCATTGAGGTGGGAAGAAAAGTTTAGTTTCAATAGTCTTTCAATGAATAAAAAAAAAAGACAAAATTCCAAAAAAAGAATAGTAAATGTGGAAGTGCCAGTGGCTCAGTGGTCTGAGCATATTCTCCCTGAACGGAAAGGATCCTGGGTTCAAATCCCAGCCTGGTCACTGAAGCACAGTTGCATGATGGTCGTCTGGTTGTGAGCTGTGACAAGCTGTAAAGCGGATCAGGGCATGACCTCAGATGAGAGAAGGCCAGACACGAAGGGGGGAGTGAAGATCCAGACGCTCCCCCTGGGGCTTCTGAGAGAATATCCAGCAGCGGTTATGAAGTGGGTGTCAAATTTTTTAATTTCGACTTCTAAAAGAGATCCAAAACAGACTAAGTCAACAATTCTTTCAAAATTTTAAATATTCATAGCACATTTTACCTGTAAAATGCTCCGCCAGGACGCTCTATCAACTGACTCCTGTACATGGATAAGGTTGTGTTTGGCCCATTTGTAGCAAAGATTATTGTAGGCCTGTAAATGAGATGTTTTCTCACACAGAGATGAACATCAGCTCTACACTCTTTGATCCGTGCCGGACCCACTGACAGCTGAATGATTAAGACTACAACTGCATTTCATGAAAGGCATTCCAATGTAAACCTTGCTGATAAAGTGGAATTTATTTTAAGACATGAGGTTCTGTTAAGGAGAACTAAACTGGACTGTTTTAAAATGAAATTACAAAGTCACAGCTTATCAAAGAGCAAATGTCCTGAATTTGTCAGATGATGTACCCAAACCTCATTCAAAAGATTAAACGACTGATTAAAAGTAACAGCAAATGTTCTGAGAACTGAGATGATATCTGGAAATCATGAACAGCACACAAATGTCACATTTATCCTTTTATTGTGCACACACCTTATACATACAAACTGCAAAGATCATTCAAAAGCACAGAGGTAAATGAGGGTTCAGCCGTTCCTCCCCTCAACAAAGGATGCTCCCCTGCTTCTCCTGCCACCTCCTCATGACCTCCAGCAGCTCTGAACCAGAAATCCCCTACATACAGAAAACAGAAACTCAGACTGCTCACATTTTACTAACAAGTTCTTCCTGTAGGAAGCCAGCATATCAAACAGACATACAAGATGAATGTTAAATAAGTTAAGTGTTGAAACGATCATGTCTCAATAAATAAGACTTAAAAATAAATAAATAAAATACAAAAAACAGGTTAAAGGCAGCAATGTCTGTAAAAAGTCAATTTCCACAATTTTGTGGAGTTGTAGCTTAACGCAAAAATACACAATTCAAATGTGCACATCCTTGATCTACATTTATTTTAAGATGAATTCACATCGGTCATATTTCACAAAAGAGCAC